AGTGAGAACGAATTTGTATACAGTGGATAGCTCAAAGTTACACTGTAAAAAAAAAACTAACGTAATTTTCTGTGAGCATATTATCCATTTTTTTTAACAGTTTCTGTAAGTAGTAGTTGTAATTGTGAACTGTAATTGTTATTTGTAACATTCAGTTATGGTTGAAAAATTAATCGAGAAAATTCCTTCATTTGAAAATGGCACATCATAAAATCTTCACCTTTCGGGATTTTTTTAATGCATATATTACCATATTGAAATGACTGTCAAAATGCAAAAATGAATGGCACTCATACACTTCTAGGCTGATCTCTGATGTCTAATGGGTTTTATAAAAGTCTTCCTAAAATGAGAGAATTGCTTGCATTATTGCACATAACACAGTAACAGCAAGTTCATCGACGCACAGATGGGTAAGTATTTAATGGTAGATTATGTTTTGTGTTATTCTACACATCCTACAGATCAGCTGTTGCAGATTTCAGGTTTACACTATGGGATAGTTTGTAACAGCCCTTTTTCTACACAAACCCTGTGCTCCTCTGATTTATCCAGAACATAAGCAGCCCTCAGCAATTTCTAACAGAGAAGTTTGCATTAAAAAAAAGACACGAAATTACCATTAAGTTGGCTCTCAGTGATCTAAATTGCCATTGCTTTTACTGGAGACTGTTTTATTTTGATTACTAGACTCCTTGTCCATTATCCAGTCTGCTTGTTTTTGATTTGTGAATTTAGGTTTTTAGTAAATTAGCCCATTGTTAGTTGAGCTGATCACCCACAGAACTTTTTTCCCCTTCAACCCATGAGTTAATTTGGCCCTACACTTTCTAATTGACTGATTTTGCCAAGCCCACATAAATCGCAAGCCTTTGAATTTCACCGTGTCCCAAAACAGTAGACACAGGGCTCAAGTAATGACTACACTTGATGTAAAAAACAAACAAAAACAGTTTTGTAAAAATAAAATAGCACAAAATAAAAGTGAGCTAAACAGGACGTTTTTGGCATGGGTAACATTTAAATTACGTTTTTACTGATGATTGAGGAATTAGTTCAGGTGGGATTTCAGTGCAGACAGATATTTGACAGCTGATTGGCAAATCTCATATAGGGCATGCTATTTACATTGCTGAGCAAGGTTAGCAGCCCACCTCCATTCCAGCTTCTCCTCCTCTGCCATGTCTGACACAATCAATGTCTTTTCTGTCATGTTAATGCTGCTCTGTTCTGTACCACCGACAAGGTGTGCTCATTCTCCCACAAGTAGTGGCACATAGCAGATGGAAAAAAGTGGTACTGGCACAAATGTCATATAAAACTACAGTTAACCATCTCTACTATGCAAAACATGCCCACGCTCCTCCTTATTCCATACCGACGCTGATCATCAGCTGGTGACAGTATGACTTCATGCGGGTGACGAGCAGCTTTGGCTTCAGTCTTCTAACACTAAATTCAGTGGACTGTCAAACGACAGTCGTTCGTACAGCAGATAAAATAGATTTTCACTTGTTGGCTGGAAATGAGAAGCCTACTGTTTACTTCCATGTGAAATCAGCTGTCATATCATTGTTTAAAGAATTACTGCAAATTTCAAATGATAAATGTGCCTGTGGTATCAGTGTGTAAAGTGCTTTGTGCAACAATGGAACACTTGACAGCCATAGCAGCAATAACTGGATGGAGGGGCTTAGTGAAAAGTCTATTATCTCACCCGATTATTTCTATCTTTTTTGTGCATTCTTTGTCTCTTGTATTGGCTCTGCGGATTTTGTCCCGCCTGATCTTCCCACTAGTTCTCTGTCAAAAACGAAAAAAAAAAGTCATTTTGGAAGTAATAGAGATACGATCTCCTTGGAAGTTTGCTATTGGGCGAGGCCCAAATATAAATACAAGCTTAGATGTTGACACAAATTTGCTGACACGAGTTTGCGTCCATCCTGGCCTTTTGCTGAGAGGGGACTTCCTGTCATCAATTTAGCTTTTCCTGCCAAGACAACTGTGAGCAGAAAGAGGTGCTTACCCCAAATATCACCCAGAAGCAAACTTATTCAATTAAATGGGACAATTCTCCAGTGCAAGTGCAAAAAATGGCAAGTGCAAATATCATTTTTTAACCTTCTGTCAAAAACAGAGAGAAATCTTTATAGAATTGTTTATTCTCATGACCAAAAAGACCAAATATGTATTTCCTGTTGTGAGTTCATGCCTAGTTTGCATGTCTGTTTGTGCCTTCACAAGAACATTTTCATTGTGCACACTCTGCACCCTGAGCAGTTTGGCCAGCGATTTGCCCATTCAGCACAATGCATTGTGGGATCCTGGGGTTAAAAATGAGCATGTAGCCATAACGAGAGCACTGTCGTCACAGAAGAAATCAACACCACATTCTAATTGGCCCTCTCTCCTTAAACCTGGGTGATCATTCCCACAGCCCATTGTGTTAGAAGAAGATGGGAAGGTAGTGGTGGAAGGTGATAAAAGGATCTGACCTTGTGCAAATCTGCCACTGTCTACCTGTCTGAGTGTGTGTGGGTAAGTGAGTGAAGTGGCCATTGGCTGACAAGAAGATACACGACATGTAAAGGAGAGCTCAAGGCAGCAGATCACATGGGTATGTACGTATCCACAGCATCACAGAGCGAGAGAGAGCAGCCCTGCAGCAGACGATTTAAGAGCTGGCCGGAGAAATCAATATTTTAGCAGATATAAAACCTTGAATCTCCATTGGAGTTGTATTTAAAATTATGTGAGTCTGGGCTGCAGAATAAGCGCTGCGTATATCATCATCCCCTCGACTCTTCCTACAGTTATGTGTAAAGTTGCGTCTGCATCCATGTGTCTGTAAGGGCAGAGAAAATACCTTTTTGTTTTTTTACCCCAACAGTCCCTATAAATACTATTACCTTTAATTACTCTAATTAAATGTAAATGAGAAAATTACGTGTATTAATTTCAATAAATGTATTACATTTATTGAAATTTTTACTTTCATTTTTTTAGGTTTTAGTTTTTTGTTGCTTGACACTAATTAGCAGCTGTTTGCATTCATATAATGTGTAACGCAATTAATGCATTCATATTGTTCATGGAAGCTTGGTTAGCAAGTTTGCTAGCATTAGCTAATAACAAGGAACCCACCAATCTGTTGAAAACAAAAAGCCTCTTTAGCCACTAAACAAACTCACAAAACGACACAAAATACTAACGCAGAAGCAAAACTAACGGATGATCACATGGTGGCTACCTTCGTCTTTTTAATACAGGCTATGTAACTGTTACATAATAAACAGTGTCTCTCCTTTGAGCTCTGTTTGTGCTTTCATTTTTGCATCACTGCGGTTTTTTGTGCTGAGGTTAAAAGATATAAAGTAAAGGAGAAAGTCAACAACCTCTGTGATCTGAAACTACAAAATAAAATCACAATTCTCCGTTGGTTTTTAGCTACAAGCAATCCTCTTCACATAGACAGTGAGTAGTGTAGTGAGTAGTAGTTTCTCATTTATAAAAGCTTTAATCTCCTTTGACTGTGTCTGTGTGGTTGGATATGATTGATTGGCACCAGGCTTCTGAACTGACACGCAAACCCTAGGTGTGGCGTGGCGGTGCAGTAGTTAGCACTGTCTCACACTGCCAGGGAAGTGTTTGAACCCACTGGCCAGCCTGGGCCCTTTTGTGTGGAGTTTACACGTTCTCCCTGCCTGTCACCTCACGACCTCATGGGACAGTCTCCAACCCTGAATTGTCTAAATAGAAGAATAAAGGGATAATTGGTGCATCGTAACATGCATCATGTATTACCACCGTCTCGCTGTCTTAAGGAAATCTGAGGAAATCTGTATAATGAAAAAAACTCAAAAAGTCTTTATTTGCCAAAACATATTGTGCTCATGGAAGTCCGGCTTGAGAGAGAGACTTATTTCAGAGTGGAGCCCTGAACTACCTGTTCTTGTCTGTTGTATCATTGTATTTCCGGCAGTAACTGGTTCAGAGGTGACTTTGTGTGGTCATGTTATTCTCGACAAACATAGCAAAAGTAATTACTGCAGCGGGCTTCGAGGAGACTCGGGCCCTTATCTGGAATGCCTCTCGCACCCGCAGCAGGCGCCCGAGCTTTACGTGGTCTAATAAGTCACTCTGGGTTTTGTTTTGTTTTTTCTACAGTAAAAAAACCCCCACCTGATTACCTTGATATGCCCCATGTGTGTTTATTTGTTTTAGCTGTGCTCATTTCTGCGGATAGATAACAGAGGTTTAACAGAAATACCGCAAGTGTAGCGTGCGTTAAATTGGATTTCCCTACGTTTTCGCGACACGATAAGGTTGTGTGCGTGTGTTGGTGCTTTCAAGTACTCTCCGAGAAGTCCTGTCCAGGTGCTATTTTTCTATTTCCCCCAAACACATGCATCACTCAGAGAAACATAGTTTCTCATTTTACATCCAGCCCAGACATAATTCATCCCCAAAAAAGGGGGAAAAAAAGAGAAAAAGCAGTGATGGCTGTCATAGAAATAATCAAAACGGAGGCACTGCGTCTCTTCTGAATATTAATTCATCACTTAAAGATCCCTGCAGTGCATTTCATTGATTTGTTTGCTGTTGTGGTGTGAGCAATGGATGACTGAATTGTGCTGACCTGGCGTTTCCTTAAGCTTTTCTATTAGGCCGATATTTTGACATGAAGGAGTGCAGGAGGGGGCGTGTGGGGGGTTGGTGGATGGCTTGGATCATTACACATCTTAACCACAAATGGCCATAAACAAGTCCAAAACGTGGCTTGGATGAGTAATTTACAGCCGCAATCTCATCAAGCATAAATCCTTATCTCTTGCCAACATATTGACAGGCAGAGGATAAACAATTTATCAGCCATTTGAATAAGTAATCTCCCCCAGCTCTGTTTTTGTGATATTTACAAATGCGCCTCCCCTTACTTGCTCTGCATGCTCACCTCGACTTCTCTCTCTGTCTCTCTCATATCTTTTGCCCCTAAACAGAAACCTGAGTAACAACAAGATCTCTCTGCTGAGGAACGGCTCCTTCTATGGCTTGGCTGCCCTGGAAAAGCTGTGAGTACTTAAATCAAGCACTCTTTAATGTTTTGTCCTCCCCAGAGTCCTAATAGCTGTCATCGCAGCAGCAGTATTGCACTGTAGCTGGGAAAAGGCAAACAGGGGACATGGTGGGAATTAGGAGATCCTTGTCAGGTTTTACCCTGCAGGAGGCTTGCCAGTGTGTTTTTTTTTTTTCTTTTACCTTCCAGCCCTTGCGCTTAACCACAATTGCCACAGTAAATGTCCTAAAAGCGATAATATATAGCATCATGTTAGGGACTAATGCAGCGTGAGATCAGGGTGCTCTGACAGTGTGACTGACTGTGGCGGGCCCGTGTCGATGACTCTCGCACCATATGCAATCTCCCAGAGGGCTGTATTCATACAGCCTGATGATGAGCTCCATGATAGCTCTTCCTGTGTCCCCCCCCCCTGAAGTCAGCTATTGATTGCTTTCACCTCTGTGCAGCCCAGTGATAGCTGCTTTTCTACCTGATGGTGACACAGACACTGGCTGATGAGGAAATCAGAAAGGGGCTGAAATCACACAGAGCGGATGGCTTGATAACTTGCTCTGTTCAGTCAGTCATTCCCGGAGGTATGTGCATGTGAAAGCACACATATTAAGCTCACCACTCACGCCAAAACACACACACGCGCGCACGCAAACTACATCAGTGACTGCTGTGAATATTATTACAGTCAGTTTTGGCCCCCGTCTCCCCTGACTGCTGACTGACAGTTAAATTTAGATTGGAATAATGGCAGCGGTATAATTCTGCCTCTCTTTCACTTCTTTTTGGGTGGCTGTGTCGCCTGGTGACCTACAGGATGGTGTCACATGTCTCTCCGGGCCTTATTAGTGCCATTAAATTGTCCGACTCTCTCTCTCCAGTTCCATTGGAGTGATGGAGATGATGATTGCGAGGCTTTTAAGGACATTCAGTCAAAGGTCTGTCGCGCCTGACCTTTTGGAGCAGCAGTTTGCGGTGCCTATCCCTTCCTTCACCTCACTCCCTTGGTTCAGTCTTTCCATTCTTCCTGCCACATGCAGCATTTGGCAGGGATACGCCTGTTGCTGGAAGCTGATGCCAAACCAGGTAGCCTCAGTGAGTTGAAAGTGGCGGCCAGCTGTTCCCTCGTCTGGCACAGCCGACTGACTGCCTTCCTGTACGGCTGGCTGACTGAATGGATCTGAGGGTTGTGGAGAATTGGCAGTTGATTGACAAGCTTAATAAGGCATGTGTATATGTTTGCACCACTCTTGCTGCAGCTGCGCTCTCAATGTTCTTCAACAAACAGACCGTTTGGGGCAGGAATGGAAACTTGGATCCCACTGCAAGTTTTTTGTTTTTTTTAAATGAAACAGAAACTGATTTGCACATCTTTTCTTATTTAACGATGGCTCTAGATATGCAGATAATTTTAGTTTCATTCATTTTTATTCTGAGGCAATTTGTTTCCTTTCTAATTCAGTTTAGGCACAGACATAATAAGACAGACAAAATACTCTGTGAATGACGAACTGAAATCCAGCAAACACAGAAGGTGGAAGTTGGTAGAAGTTTTTAGTAGATTTGACGGTTTATTCTCTATATGCAGTTGTTATGTCCTGTGGACCACTGAAATAAAAAAAAAGTGCTTCAAAATAACCCCCTGCACTGCACGCCGGTCTTTGCTTTGGTGTTGGTTCAATAAACAATAACTGTCAAGAATAACTGTCACTTTTTCATCCCTTTTTAACCTCTCTGCCATAAAAGGCTGAGGGGGTATTATCGTCACACCACCAGACGGGTGGGTGGGGAGAGTGATCAACAAAACTGGGATGCTCTTTCTGTTTTGGTTGAGCAATGAGGCCTTTATTTTCCTGCAAGATTTTGTAGCTGATGGCAGACTGATTTGAATCGTGAAAATGAGTTTTAGTAGGAAGCATTCAAAATGCAGGTGTTCTCATTATCCTAAGACCACTGGACTGTACAGCTGAGACTTCTATTACAAACACCCAAGTTTGTGAATGTGAGAACTCAAGAACGAGGAGACGTGGGATTTTGAAATTCGTTCCATAGGTGCATCTACTAAAAGTCTGAGATGAGTTTGAATCTCAGTGACGTTGACTTTAGGGTTAAGGTCAAGGTGAGAGTCCAAGTTTTCTGAAGATCTTGTGAACACCATAAATCGAGAAAAATGTCATGTATGATTTTCAAAGTGATACCATAGGTGTATCTACTAGGAGGCTGAGGGTAGCCTGGCAGCGTCCAGTAGTTTTTAAAATCGTGATTACATGAAACATTTCACAGATTTTCATTTTAGTATGCGTGTGTTTGTGATATACTCAAAATACTCAAATATATGGTACCAGATATATTATTGGCACAATATACTAAGCACACAATTTAATAATTTATTGATGGAAGATCTATATACTGGTAAATTTACCAGAATATTGACTTATTAGATTATGTATTAGTTGTCAAATCTAAACAATATAAATTAGTAAAATGAAGAATATATTAAATAATATGTATACTGCAAAATTAATGATAAATTCATATAGAAGATTTAATACATGACGGGTTGTTCATAAAGTCCCTTATAATATGATGCTTATCCAAACATTGTGCTCTTATCCCCACAATGTTGCTGCCTGCTCTGCTGCAGTATTTTCTAAATTTTAAATGCTTTTATAGTGGCTTATTTCGATAACTTGATCGATAATCAGCGGCCATTCAGCTGCACCAAAAAGTTTAAATATTTGCACTGACGGTTAAAATGCATAACAAACACAACAACACACTCAGTTGAACTATCAAATGTATATGTGGTAGGACTCGACTTATGCGGTCAAAGAAGTGCAGGAGACTGATGCTATCCAGTGTAGCAAGTGATTTATTCACCATTTTGTGACCGAAACAATATTTACAAAGAAACAAATAAGAAACTCAACTCTATAATTAACTCAGTTCAAATAAACATAACTGAACTTAAATCAACGGAAATTAAGGCCAAACTGCTCACAGCTACACTGACCCAAACCTTTTTCTGAAACACCTGAGTTCTTCTGCTTAAATAGTCCACTTAATCAAACAATTTCTCCTCTGGACTATTCCATTCAGTAGGTAGATACGATGAACATGATTATATTCAGACCTCCACTACTCCTCTTTACTGGCAACATGAACTCTGGTGTAATCAATACATATTATAACAATAAATCTACTTCTTCATAAACCCTCTAAAATCAACTTTATTAAATTATACGAGTTCTTCCCTTCTGCACTTGGTCTCTTCCTGTGACCTCAGATGAACCCAGAAGCTATAAAGCAGGAAGTAAAACTACATTTCCTCCTTTTGTTTCTGGAAGACAGGTAGGTAAGGTAAGTTCTAAACAATACAAATTAACAGTTGAAATAAATAACATGTTAACTTAACAAACTTGTAGGAATTGATTTAAACCAAGATGTTATATTATATAATCTGTAAAAGTGCAAAACATAAACAAACCCGGGATAGTAGATGTTTTCCTATTGCAGATTACATGTGAAATATGGTTAAATCAAAACAAGAATGTTAACTAAGAATATGGACAAATGGCCTTCTCACCCACTTTGTCACAGTATAACTATATATGATTTGGGGATTTTGTATAAGATATTTGTATAAGTCATATGTATGTTAGCATTCACATTACCCTAGAACAGGGGTGTCCAACTCCAGGCCTCAAGGGCCGGTGTCCTGCATATTTTAGAGATCCCTGGATCAACACACCTGAATCAAATGATTAGTTCATTACCAGGACTCTGGAGAACTTCAAGACATGTTGAGGAGGTAATTTAGCCATTTAAATCAGCTGTGTTGGATCACGGACACGTCTAAAACCTGCAGGACACCGGCCCTTGAGGCCTGGAGTTGGACACCCCTGCCCTAGGCAGTGTTTATGCAAAATTACATCAAGATTGGTCCACTCATCTAGGAGTAGCTAGAGAACATGCAAACATATATTGTATTATTTTCAGAATCTTAGTTTAGTGCACTTGCTCTTTTGGACAAGCAGAGCAGAAAAGAAGAGCGTAAAAACTTGATGCACTCATATTTTTAGGTTTAGGCATCAGTTGAATGTTAATCAAAATGTAGCACAGTGGCGCTTGGGGGAAAGTTCGGTGCTCTGGAGACAAGGTCTGAGGAAACATTTTAATAGTAATTTCACTCTGAACCAAATGAGCATTAACTTTTTCATCCGAGGTCATGGGGGAGCATTATTAGGCTTCCCAGCCCAATTCCGTGATAAGAGTATACTGTTTTGCTTGTAACTTACTAATCCTAGCTAGGGGCTGGACTCATATATATCATCATTATTGTTATCATTGTTGATGAATGATGGAATTTATACAGCACACTAAGCGACTTTATTAATTCCCCATAGAAGTCTCTTTTGATGTGATTTGCTTGCCCCTGTAGGCCAGATAGAGTCCTTTTAATGGAGGGTTCCTGTATTGTGGGTGATGGCCTGACTCCCCCCCCCATATGGACACCAGCCCACTGCCGTCAGCCAAACTGGGTCCCACAGGAGCAAAGCAGAAACAAAGCCCATCTCTGTTCTCTGGTCAGGACACTAAATCTAGCTTTTGCCACTTCATCATGTGTTTCCACCGCAGAAGGCCTCGCTGTGCGAAGGGTCTGTCTGAAAGAGACGAGGCGGGCATATCCTTCTCATACTGATTACACTCTTGAGCAAATGTTTTTATAGAAAGATTTTAATTTGGAACTATTGTGGACATTATAATATTCTATTTACATTCTTTATGTAACATCTAGAGTCCAATGTAACAATCCAACAACAACTACAGAAAATAAATGATTCCTTAATGATAAGGTCGAGATTCTTCGAGCACACTTCTGTTGGCTTCAAGCATATTGTTGATTATAGGTGTCAGAGAGAGGAGTGGGTATTTTTGAGATCATGACAGTGGCTATGACAGCAGATTTATCCTTCGCAGACTGTCCAAATGTTTTCTTTA